GATGTATCTGGGTCGCAGCGTGCTGCCTGTTGCCTTGTGGTGCTTGGTGGACTGATGCGTCTCTGGCGGGACGCACCGAGGGCGTGCGCTGGCTGGTGTCAAGCTCGCGTCGCTAAGACAATATTTAGATAGTTTATCTTTTGCGGTGATCTAGAACTTTACCTAAATTTTTGTACCAATCGGATACATCACAAGATACTTTATTCCTGTAAGGAATTGCATCAAACACCTTGAATGCAGCATATGGATAATTTTCGTGGAGCTAAATTATTAAGCCTGCAAAGCTGCACCCGCTAGCGACCAGAAATCCATGTAAATTTTAAGCATGATATTTAATACTATAAGATAATTGATAACAATGTTTTGTTTATCTATAATCAAAGACACGTAGTGCAAAAAAAAAATCATTATCAAACCAACCAATCGGTTATTCTAAAAAAAATACCTCTTCACCGCTTGTGCATCTGGGAGCAACCTGTTTATGATGGGATATACTCATTTGTATTCAATCTCAAACAAATAAAAAACACGTTGGATTGGATCATAAAATTGAGATGTAGCAGCTTGTTCCAGGCCATCACAAAAACAGAGGCAAATCTGCGCGGCACAAAGAACTGCAGAATCAAGTTTGTTCTCGCCAACCTTCAATGCAAAGACGCCACTCTTATGGCCCCTTTGCTTTGCCTTCTCCCAGCAATCAATTATTTACAACTGAAATTGATTGGAAACACTGATTGAAATGAGCAAATCAAAACCAATTTACAAAGAATTCCAAAGATGAACACATCTTGCCCTGCATATCTTTTTAGATGAATCTCGCTGCGCTGCCGTTGGATTAGCAGCCGAAGACCAATAGCAGCGTACCTCCCCCACGTGGGATCACCCTTGGCGGAGGAGTCCTGGACCAGTCGCCGCAGCGGAGGTCTCGGGCGTCTTGTCGATGGGGATACGGGCAATGGATATGGGTATGAACAGGTAAGTGGTAACCACACTAATCAGAGGAGGAAACATACAACTAATCAGAGGAGGAGGAAGCAGGAATTGCAGTCGGGCTCCCCCTCGCCGCGGAGGCCGCACGACACGACAAGGACATCGGCATAGCGCGGGAAGACAGAAGACGCCTCTGACTTGAGAGGGACGGCCCTCCCCTCACCGGCTTGATCCTGAGCGAGCTGATGCTAGGATCCGCCCAGATCGACCCCGTCGTCATCGCCTGAGCAGAGGAGACTGCCCCCACCGTGTAGAACTGAAGAGGAGGATGTTGTTGCCGTAGATGCGCCCGTGGAGGAGAGTGGGGGAGGATGTCGTCATCGCCGTGGATGCGCCTGTGGAGGTGGAGGAGCGACGGCGACAAGTCGGGAGGCGTGCGCAGCGGTACGCGACGGGTTGCGGCGGTCGGGAGAAGAGAGCGCCAGAGAGGAATGAGGAGAGGGTTAGGGTTCGGGGCGGGTGGACCGGTGGAGGGGGCTCTCCGTAAAGTGCTTTGCGGATTTCTTCGCAAAAAAGAGGCGAATATCAAATTTTCTCTTCTTCGCGTTATATTAAAATTTGTTTTAGGGGTTTATTCGAAAGACTACCAAACGTGGATACAGCTTTGGTATGAGGAAATGAACCACGGTTTAGTTAGCGAAAAACTGGAGAAAAGTTTTGTAAAATACCCATCGCCACTCGTCGGCACACGGTGAAGCCACGAGTCTCAGAATGCTGTGCTGCGAGCGAACACGAGTGAGTTTTAAGAGCTTTGATACGTGCGATTCCTGAATAAAATACCGGAGAAGAAAATTTTATAAACTTTGATCAAAAAACATTTAAACAATAAATAAGTTTAGGATATATTTTGTGTCAACATATTTATATTCAAAGTGTTTCTGATATACTAATAATTATTTAGTGAGTGATAATAATGTATACTAAGTAGTAGTTAGAGAAATTAATCTTAAAATCTAGAGTATTTTATATGACCTTTTTTTTGTTAAATATGCTTATTAGGATGAAAGGAGAACGCCGGATGCTATACCGATCACGTTCGTCTGCCATATGTCCCTAGTCTAACTGCATCGTAAAGACTATCATATGATTTAGGGCCTATATAGATGACAAAGCTTTAAAATATTAAAGTATTATATCACTATAGTTTTATAACATAAAGAGACACAACTATTTGTCTTTTCGATAATCATATAGCTCGGGCGTCTGACCCGTAACTTCCCGACGTGGCTCATCCTCATCCACTCGCCCGCGTCGCTCACATGACTTCTCATCCGGACCTCGTGGCTTATCCTCATCCACTCGCCCGCATCGCTCGCGCCGCTCTATGATGTGCGACTCGCGGTCGCAGGATGGATTCTGCCCGAGCCGCTCCCCCCTGGGTGCGTATCCCCTGTCCGTACTCGCGCCTCCCGTCGCGGCTATGCTCCATCCACTTGCCGCCACCACTACCGAGGTCCGTGCCGCCACCGAGCTCCACACCGGCGACCTCTGCGCACTCCATGGCATCTAGCTCCGCGCCGGTGTCGAGCTCCACAATGAAAAGCTCCATTCGTCCAAGCAGCAAGGTGACGTTGCGCTAAAAGCACATGTTGCAAGAGTATGTTTCAATTATTTTAGATGTTTAAAAGAAATGTTGCAAGTGTTTCATACGGATGTTGCAAAAGGAGTTCCGGATGTTGCATATGTGCAATGGTTGTACACGTATGTTGCAAGCTCCTGTTCTCAATGTTTTATCTGTTTTTTTCGACATATGTTGCAAGTGTGTTTATCTAGATGTTGTATATGTTTTCACACATATGATGCAAGTGTTTTTCAGGTGTTTTTGCAAGTGTTTCATACGCATGTTTTAAATGTTTCATTTGTTTTCAGACGTATGTTGCAATTGTTACATCTGGATGTTTCAAAACTAGATCAGGTGTTACATCTCCATCCGCGTGTTTTTGTTGTCTCGCCTTGGTGTCAGGCGTAGGAAGCAAGTGTAGGTGGAGGCGGTCCCCACTAGCGTGGGCGGGCCCACGTGCTTGCGGGCGGGCGCAACAGGCCAAACATGAGCTGACATGCGCTGGACAGGTGGCAGCGGCGCGGGCGTCTGGACAGAGGCTAGCGTCCGAACGTTCGGGCGCTAGCCACTCCCAAATAAAAAAGGCCATAAGCGGAGTTTTTGAAACTCTAAAATGACTACAGCTTTGACGAACACATGGGTCATGTTCGCTTCTCTTATAATCCGTACTTTTCAGCTTGTTTTTTTAGCCGGAACAGTGTTTCTCTCTCACAACAAATCAGCCGAAACAGTGTTTCGGTTTGTTTTTTCAGTGAAACGAACGAGGCCATGGTTTTGACTTTTGAGACTACAAGATTTGTTGTACCAAACACCCGTTAGCTTTTGAAAACCAAAGTATTTTTATAAAACCACAACACTTAAAATATGCTTTGTATCCAAACAGAGCCTTAACCATTTATGTCCTATTTGGAACACATATGAATTGTATGTGAATTTCATGTGAATCAATTCAATCTCATAGCAAAAATACAGGAGCGCAGTTTTCTTTTTCGCGTTCAAACAGGCCCAAAGGAGTCTCCACTTAGAATTCCACGCATTATTCATGGTAGTAGATTGTTCTCCTACAAGGATAAATGGTTCTGGAGAGCCCATGGGCTTGGATCCTCCTCAACTCTGTTCCGTTCAACACGGCCCATACACGTGAAGAAGCATGCCCTTTCCAAATCTCTGAAAAGTGGAAAACATAGTCGAATGAAGAAAGCGTCTTTTCTTCCTAGGGACAAGTAACTCACGCAGCATATATATGTGATCGAAGGATAAAATCAAATTGACCTGCATTCTTATAAACTAAAAATCCTACATATGCTCAATAGATATATTATACACTAACGCCATGTTCATTTGAACTTATCAGCCATACTGTTTCAACGAAATAACTGTTTTTTTCTCTCACAACAAATCAGCATCAGCTGTTTTTCCAGCCAGCCCAGGGGCGAAGCTACACAGTGGCTGCCGAGTGCACATGCACCTGGGTAAAAACAAATTTTCAGTGATTATTATCTAATTTTTACCCCTTGTGCACTCCCTAATCTCCAATTATGTGCACCACTGTGGCCCACCAACAACCCAGCCAGCGCCCACGATGAATTGACAGCTGACAGCCATCCGTCTGTAGTCTGTACACAGCTGACAGCCTGACAGCCCAGAGCCCAGTAGCCCAGTAGCCCACGATGAAATGAACAGACGCCCACAGGCCACAGCTGACACAAGTCCTCACGGTCATGGAGACCGTCCGCCGCCCAGTCGCCCAAACGTCAGAACTAGTCGAGTCGTCGTAGAAAGGCGGCGCCGCGGCGGAACCGCGGAAGAGAAGGAGGCGCGTCGCACCATCGTGGCATCGCCGATCGCCGACTCACCGCGGTACGTCTGTTCGCCGGAAGCCCGGAATTGGTTACTGATTCAATTTAAGTAATCTGTTCGCCGGTACTCGGGATTCAGGAAGGATTCGTTGAGATTTGAGACTCAAGAAATAAACAAAAATCATGTCAAGTAAGTTTATGAATGTTTGGTCAATTAATCTTTTTTCCTCCCCTTAGGCTTGCTTTGGCAGCGGAGGCCAATTAACCCTAGGTAGATAACCCTGCACGTGGAATTATTTGGATTTTTTATTCCCGCCTCTGCCCCAGGGAAGATTACCACCAGTGGGGGAGTTTCCTTGTCGCTGTTTGACAGCAGCTCCTCTTCTCTTCCTTCCCACACCCACACAAATATCTCTGTCCCTGTCCCTGTCTCTTCTCACCCGCCACCGCCGGCGGTTGAATCGACGGAGACGTGGCTGGATTGCTCGATTCCGTATGGGAATTGGTTGATTGATCTGGGGTTGCTGTTGTGCCTATGCTGCTGAATCGATTTGGGGATTCGAATTGGATTAGGCAGGTGTGTAGGGTAGGTGGGGATCCATCCATCGATTCGGCTAGGCGAGGAGGCGGTGGACGATTACGAGCTCCACATGGTGTGCTACGGCGGCGGCGGCGGCGACGACGACTGGCGCGTGATGGAGTGGGAGTCGGGGCTCCCAGGCGATGACGAGTTGACCCCTCTGTCGCAGCCGCTGGTGCCCCCGGGTCTGACGGCGGCGTTCCGCATCCCGCCGGAGCCCGAGCGGACGCTGCTGGATGTGCACCGGGCGTCGGCGGCCACGGTGTCGCGGCTGCGGCACGCGCCGTCGTCGTCGTCGGGAAGCAAAGGGAGCGGCTCCTCCTTCGTGTCCTTCCATCCCCAGGCGGGGGCAGCGGGACACGCAAGGGGGGATGAGGGGGCGGACTCGTCAGCAGCCATCGGCCGCGCGGCGACCAACAACGCCAACACGCAAGGGACGACGGGCGGCGGCGGCGCAGCGCCTCCTCGGTCCTCGCCTCCTCACGTCGAAGGATAGACAGAGCGACCCGCGAGCGGACGGGGAACCGTGCCCGGTGTCTCGAGACGTGGGGCGGCGCCCCGGGGAAAACGCGTGGGTCGGGCTGCCCTCCCCCTCCGCGTAGGCTTCCAAACGGCGCCGTAATCTGGCCCGTGGCCAGTTTCCGCGCGGGCTTCTCGCCCCGGGAAAACGCTGGGATCCCGGAGGGATTCCCTGCTGCCAAAGTAGGCCTTAATTCTTTAACAGAAAGACATGAGATGCATTGATATAACTGACATTTTTAAAAAATTGTGTTACAGGTGCGTTTATGGAAAGATGGTTAAAAAGGAAAGCGTCGGATGATGCTAACAATCTTGGTAATTCTCATCAGCAAAACAACAATGTTAATGTTAATCCAATACCACCAGCTCCAGAAGATATCGATTGGGAGGAGGAGATCCAATTTGATCCTCGTAAAAGAAAAGAAATACGTTCTTATCACCCTAATCTTAGAGAATCTGTAAGAAGAAAGTACTTGGCAAATGGACCTTGTCAGTCTCGCACTCTTAATTTTCCATATACTCGGATTGGGAATAGAAATAGAAGGTTTAATCCTGAATGGTTTGATGAATTTGGAAATTGGCTTGAGTACAGTGAGTCTACCGATAGAGCCTACTGTTTTACGTGTTTCTTGTTTAGAGACCCCACTAAGAAGGAGGCTGGGTACAAGTCATTTGTTTTAGATGGTTGGAATACTTGGTACAATAAAGAAAGGTTAAAAGAGCATGTTGGCAGTGTTGACAACCCTCACAATGTAGCAAAGAAAAAATGTGCTAATCTGTTGAAAAGAGAACAACACATTGATGTTAAGTTACATGAACAGCTTGAGAGTTCTAAGAATGCATATTTTGTTTGACTTAATGGTGCAATTGATACTACCAGATTGCTACTCAAGCAAGGATTGCCTTTCCGAGGGCATGATGAATCAAAGACATCCTTAACACAAAGGGAATTACAGGGAAGTTTATGATTTCTTAGCTGCGCATGATGCGGCTTTAGGCAAGACATTGACAATTGATGCTGCAGATAATAGTCTTTTGGTATCTGCTGACATACAGAAAGACATCATCAAGTGTTTTGCAGATGAGATTTTACATTATATCCTTGAAGACATTGGACAAGATGTATTCTGCTTACTAGTTGGTGAGTCTAGAGATGTCTCTTGCAAAGAGCAAATGGCAGTGGTGTTGAGATATGTTGATAAATGTGGACTTGTGAAGGAGAGCTTTGTTGGGATTGTTCATGTGAAAGATACGACTTCTGCCAACCTCAAGTCATGTATTGATTCTTTGTTTGCTAGATTAAAGTTAAGCTTGAAACAAGTAAGAGGGCAAGGATATGATGGTGCTAGCAATATGCGAGGCGAGTTCAATGGCTTAAAATCTTTGATCATGAGATAAAATAGTAGTGCATATTATGTCCATTGCTTTGCCCATCAACTTCAACTAGTGGTTGTAGCTGTTGCTAGAAAGCATACATGCATTGCTGAATTTTTTAACAAGATTTCTACCTTATTGAATGTGGTTGGTGGATCTTCAAAGAGAAGGGACATGATTCGAGATATCAATCTCAAAGAAGTTAGTAAGGCATTGGGCTGTGGGTTACTTAATACCGGGACAGGATTGAATCAAGAACAATGTCTTCAAAGACCTGGAGATACTCGTTGGAGTTCTCACTATAAATCTCTTAGAAGTTTAGTTAATTTATTCCAAACAATTATCAAAGTGCTTGAATTTGTGGAAAAGGAAGACATGGATGGAAAGGAAAGGGGTGTTCTTGTGTACTTCCAGTCTTTTGAGTTTGTGTTCTATTTGCATCTCATGTTGACAATTTTGACTATAACAAATACCTTGTCTACGGTATTGCAACGGAAAGATCAAGATATTGTGAATGATGTTAATTGTGTGAGATCTACTAGAAACCATTTAGATCGAGTTCGACGAGATGAGTGGGAGAAAGTACTTGTGAAGTGTATGAGTTTTGTGAGAAACATGATATTTCCAAATTGGAAATGGATGAGGCTTACATCGATCCAACCAAGCCAAGGAAAAAACAGGAATTACCAACAAGCATCATTTCCAAGTTGATTGTTTTAATGAAGTTCTTGATTGGTTGCTGCAAGAGCTTGATAGTTGTTTCAATGAGACTACCTCTCAATTGCTTGTATGTTCAGCTGCATTCAACCCAAGAGATTCATTTCATGATTTTAATGTGGACAGTTTGATAAGCCTAGCTAAATTATATCCTGCTAATTTTGATCATGTGGAGTTGAGGGATCTTAACGCTGAGCTTTTCCTTTATATTGATGATGTTCGTCAAGATGACAGGTTTGCCAACATACATACAATTGTTGAGCTTTCCCAAAAAATGGTACAGACAAGGATACATCTTACCTATCGTTTGGTTTATCGGCTTTTGAAGTTAGTACTTGTATTGCGTGTCGCCACAGCTACAGTGAGAGAGGATATTTTGAGCCATGAAAATTGTGAAAACACAATTGCGCAATCGTATGAGTGATGAGTACATGAATCACAGTCTCATTTGCTATGTGGAGAAAGAAAAAATGTTGAAAGTTACAAATGATGTTGTAGTGGATCGCTTCAGGCAAAGTGGAAACCAAAAATGCTAAGAGGTAATCAATTGATTTCTTACCATTTTTCCAATTGGTGAATCGAATTTTTTCTTATAATATTGGATCATCTAATTAACACTTTTTTAGGTCATTGTCTCGTCGAGGAGTCAATTTAATGGTGTATTTTGCCAATTGTATACAGACCATATAATATTTTGTTGGGGTTTATTAATATTAACGATCAAGAGTACCAGATTCTCCATTTTGGTAAGCATTTCCTTTGACTTTGTATACATTGGACAAGATTTTTATTACATGTATATATTGAAGTGTCAAGTGTGCACTCGGATCCCTTGGGCTCTAGCTTCGCCCCTGCGAACAGGGCCTAAATTGCAAAGGAATATATGCAGTCCACGAGTCCATCACGAAAAAGGCATCATCAACTACTAGTGGTCTATACATGCAAGTCGCTAGAGTAACAGCATCAGAATGAAGCAACAGATGGGAAAGCACCAGCACGAGCAAGCACTGGTAGCCGAGCCTAGTAGGGCAGCCGCAAACGACGAAGAATCCGGCTTCATCGACCAAAAATTGTTCAAGATTCGATTCCCAAACAACTTGCAGGTTCTATCATCGTCGCCATCATCTGCGTACTCTCTTTCATCCAACAAAAATACTCCAATCTATATAATATAATAAAAAACTTTACATTTGCGTCCATTTCACTGTTTATCCGGGACTCCCTCAGACTCATATCACTGTAGATCAGCAGTGGTGCGTACCAGACCCGATATGAACAGTACCAACCCGATAAGAAAATGGTACAAACCTGATAAGGAACAGTATAAACCCGATACAGAACAGTGCATACCCGTTTTGGAACAGTCATACACCCGTTCCATCTTTTTTTCTACCTTTTTTTTCCCGCCCTCCTTCCCAGGCGAAGCGTGGGGACTCACGCTAGTTCTAATAAATTTTGACTCGGAATGTTTACTATATGTTGGGCTACGCCCTCCACCTTTCGCACCCCCTTGCGGGCGAAAAGGGAAGTTGGCACACGCTTGGCCATTTCGCATCCTCTTGGGGGTGAAAGGGACCAAATGGAGATTACAAGTGTCTTCGCACGCCATTGAAACAGATTCACGACGATAGGCCTTTCGCTCCATCTAGCGAAAGCCTAGCTCCAGGGCAAAGGCGCAAGGCTGGCCATACGTTCGCATGAGACACTCTTATCTAGTTTTGCAGGAACCTTTCGCCCACTTCGTCGCCAGGAGGCGGAGGCGGCCCGGAGGACCCATCGGCTGTAGCTGGCGTGGGGGACCACCGGACTACGACAGGGCAGTTGAAGCCCAGGGGAGGTGAAGGAGAAGACCAAAGGGCCCTCGGCGAAATAGTATATTCTCCCGGATCAGAGTAGTTGTGAGGACAGTTATGTCCATGTAAAATGCTATGAAAGTATATAAATAAATAGTGCCCCTGCGGGGGTTGTAAAAGGAGGAACCTGATTCTTGTTGACAATACAGAGCCGCGTTACTCAAGGTATCGTTTCGCCAGTCTCTTCCTTTTCGCATCGGTGTGTTTGGATGACAACCGAGGGTTCTAAGGTTACGGCCTAGAACAACACTATATTTACACAAACATATCAATATCTATAATACTAAATAAATATTACTAGAGTCATAAATACTAAATTTCAGATTTTTTTTGACCGATGACAGCAATATCCTTTTCAAGAAGAACGCCACTTTTCTTTATTAGCTCATCCCTACTCCATTCACAGCCGCACAATATAAGTCATCAGAATATTTTTTTGTTAATGCTCCATTATCTAATAATAAAAAAACATAGCAGTATTATACTCCAAAAGAACGCAATTCTTGCTTTTCGAGAAGTCAAATAGTTTGAACTTTGACTAAATTTATATAAAAAAGTGCTAACATTCATGATATAAAATAAGTATTATTGATTTTTTTTCTTGAATACTCAAAATATTTGCGTATCATTGTAATTAAGAAGAAGTTTAACCATACACACGACACGCTTCTAATGAGCGTCCTAAGAGGTCTTACAGTTGTGACTAGACCTTCCTGACATACTGTTTCGAACTTTGATATTACATAAAAAGTAAACGACCGAACTAAGAGCAGCGCAGTAACCAATGGAGCTGGACGTCTCCGCTACTGGCCATGCGACCCTGCTTCGTCATCCGAGAAGAGTCTTCTACTAGTCCTAGCATTGGTCGCCGGGAACAGCGCGTCCAGTGCTTCGACTTCGCTCGACGTCAAGTTCCTTGCGAATAAGTCGTCGTATGCTCGCTTGGACGCGGATGAGATTGGAGCTGCCGACGGTGCAAAGCCCATCCTCTGCATGAGGAGCACCTCGCCCCGCTTGGAGGACGGAATGTGCG